CATATAAATACATTGGCTACAAGAGCAGGTCAGAGGCTAGGAATACTTAAGCAAATATCTCTCACCATCTGACTCCCCAAAGCCTGCTACCATGTATAAGGCACAAGTCAGGAGTGCGATGGAATACTCCTCAGTTGTCAGGATGGGTACAGCTCTAACAACACTTAAGAAGCTTGACACCATCCAGGACAAAGCAGCCCGCTTGATTGGCACCACAACCACAAGCACCCACTCTTTCCACCATCAATGCTCAGTAGCAGCAGTGTGTACTATCTACAAGATGCACTGCAGATATTCACTAAAGATCCTTATGATAGCACTTTCCAAACCCACAACCACTTCCATCTAGAAGGGCATTGATGAGTTGGATCAAAGGGTCTGTTTCCGTGTTTTATAACTCTATGACGAGGACAGCAGATAATAGGGACACCACCTGCAAGTTCCCCTCCAAGCCGTACACCATCCTAACTTGGAAATATATCGTTGTTCCTTCACTGTCACTAGGTCAAAATCCTGTAATTCACTCCCTAAAGGTATTGTGCACCAACTGCAGTGGTTTAAGAAAGCAGCTCACCACCACCTTCTCAACAGCAGCTAGCGACAGGCAATAAATGTTGGCCAGCCAATGATGTCCACATCTTGAGCGAATTAAAAGCAAAGTTTGATAGTATGGTTTTGAAAGTATATAATGTAGTAATCTATATCAAACGCTGAACAGTTGATGTTGTGGAGAAGAATATGCCACAACCATTGACCCAGAGCATACCCTTGTGACTTTGGTTAAGATTAATTCTGTCTGTGAAGAGACAGGAAAGTGGACAGGACGGGTTTGAGCAGAGATTCAGGAACTGGGTGAAACTATCACTGAATTGGCATGCGATTGCATGTATGATGACATTACAGAGAAAAGTTATGTTCCATCTTTACCATTGGTTCAATTGAAGTATTTGCTTCCAGCTCCAGGTGCAATGTTTGAGAAAAGGTGTGATTGCATAGGAGGGAGTGCAGAATAGATTTGCAAGAATGCTTCTAGGGTTAGAGGCCTCGATAACATGGATAGATTGGAGGAGGTAGGGGAGCACTTCCTGGAGAGGAGAATATCGAGAGGCGATTTGCCAAATGTCCGAATTGAGTGGTCAGAATAAAGAGAAACTGTTCTCATTGGAAGGATCAAGAATGAGTGTATGTGGTTATCCATTTTGGATTGAGAAAGGATAGATCAGGGTACTTTCTAGATGGTATGAAAGTAAATACAGTAAATGTCTAAAGAGACTTGGGAGTTCAGGTGCACACATCTCAAATTTCTAAAGAAATGTCACCAGTGATGTCTCATCAAAATCCTGCCAAATTCATTGGCAGATTCAGTGCTCCAATATCAGTGTCCTCTGATTACAGTTCTTCAGCTGCATTGGGTTAGCCATCTCAGCCAAGCCTGATACAAGACTTCCAAAACAAGCTCTCTACTCCAAACTTCATAACAGAAAGCAGTTACAGGGAGGGCTCAGAAAATGCATCAAGAACATCTTCAAAGCCTTCCTGAACTCATGGGAATCTCTTACCCGAGATGCCCGAACTAGGGAAGAATGGAGCAGCAAAGGCGCTAACCATCTCAAGCATTTCAGATCGACCCAGGTGGTGGCCAATTGGGAACAGCAGGATGAGTGTGCTGATAATCCTGAGTATCACTCTCTCTTTATTCTTCAAACACTACCTACCCCAGCTGTGGCAGGGTTTATGGATCCAGCATTGGATTGTTTCACCACCTCGGGACCCACAATGCTCGAGTGGAAGAAAATCATCTCTCTCAAGGAACTGCCTAAAACAACTGAAGATAATAGAAGTGCGTAAAAACTGAAAGTATTGCAGATACTGTAAATTAGAAACAAAAACGTAAATTGCTGGAAAGGCTCAGCAGGTCTGGCAGCATCTGTGGAAAGAAATCAAAGTTAACGTTTCAGGTCAAGCTCTAAGGAAGAGTCACTCGACCCAAAACATGAACTCCGATTGGCAGCCTCTGTGGAGGCAGACCTGCTGAGCTTTTCCAGCAATTTCTGTTTTTATTTCTGATAATATAAGTGCAACCTACCTTAAAGGCCCGTGAGAGAGAGGATTTGATTCCTACTCCAGTAAGTTGTATACCAGGGGTTGACCTCCATTACAGTGCTTGTTATATGTTACTGGTAGTGAGGAATTCCGAAGGATGGACAGCATTCAAACTTAATTGCAAATAAAAAAAAAAACATAAATCTGGCTCTTCTGAATGGTTGATCACTCCTTTGTCATTGATCTCGTACTTAACCTCTAAGACTGGTGTTGAGATTCAGTTCTTTTCTTTTGAAATGCTAGGATGGAGAAAAATTGTTCTGAATTTGGTCAGAACCTATTTGGTTTCAAAGCATTTTTTATGTTCCAATCATAAGACCAAAGGAGATCAGGCTAAGCTAGTCTCATTCCATCAAAACAGTTTTAAAGTAAGGTGCTTTATCAATATGCCTGCATTGATATTTAATGTTTATGCTCTTTGAGTATTTTCATTGGCTAGACTGACTGACTGAATTTCCAATTCATGGGTTTCTTTTGTTCCCAACTATGTCTAAGTAGCTCTTTTGACATATTTACAACCATGTGGAATAAAAAATCTTAATTGTTGGCCTTGTTTGAAGCACACGTACTCATTCTCCCTGCAATCCTTATGATTCCACACAATCTAAATGGTTTAGACTTTAATGTATGCGAGTGCAAAATTCACGCAATCGCCATTGTTGTGGTACAGGAGGAGACCTTTTGGTCCATCATGGCTGCACCCGTTCTGTTATTTAGTGCCAATCTCCTGTCTTTTTCCCCCTATCTCTGCACATTATTTCTTTCCAAATCCAATGCTCTTAAATGCCTCAATTGAACCTGACTCCACCACATTTTCAAGGCATTGTATACCATATCCGACCTACGCGCTGTGTGGAAAAAGTTTTTTTTTTTCCTAGCATCGCCCTTGCTTTGCTCACACATCACTTTAAATCTGTGCCCCAACATCCCTTTTTACAACTGGGGACAGTTTTTCTCTATCCATCCTACTCATGAATTTGAAAATATCTGTCAAATCTGCTCTTAGCCTTCTCATGTCCAAGGAGAATGGTCCCCATCTTCTTCAATCTGTCTTCTTAAGTGAAATATCTAATTCTTGGAACCATTCTGGTAAATTGCTTCTGCACTCTCTTCAATGCTTTCCTCTATTATGGAATCCACAACTGTACACAGTCCTCCAGCTGAGGTTTTCTGGCATGCAAGATCAAAATAATTCTGTAATAATTTTTCTGGTCTGACCTATTTTAGAAAGCATACACTGGAGGGACTTGTCACCTACAGATGTCTAATTATTTATTTTAAAGCTTGAGTGCTTTATCACTGTGATAGTGGACTTCAAATGGAATGAAAACATTTGTTAACCAAAAGGATAAAATAAAGGCACTAGAAAGCAGACACGATCTTTTAACAAAATGTCAGTTTTTAAAAAAGGATGTTTCAAAAATTTAGATTAGTTTGGGTTAGTCTTAACTCATTAAAGTTTTGAATTAAACTCTTCAAATTGTCATTCAAATGCTGAAGATTTAAAATCTACCATTCAGAATAATCGAGTAAGATCCTTCCCTATAACCAAGAACAGTTTAACTAGCAAAGAAAAGATACAGATCAAAAATAAGACCTTCATCAAACTGAATCCAAATCCAGCTATCGGACAAAAATCTGTTCCTTTTTTGAGACTAATCACCCCAGGTTTTCACACCAACAGAAATTCCTGATTAACTGTCCCTAAAAATTTCTACAATGCAAAATGTCTCTGACTAACTATCACAACATTTAGATCCATCTTAATCCTGGATTGAAAACGGCCACAACTCTCAAACATGATACTCTGAACCCTGGTTTTACAGTTCCTTTGGAATTATTGTACCTTAATGAAAAGCTTTTATTAACATCCAATTTTATGTTCAGGTGGTGATGGTTAATTTAACTGGATCTTTCTATGTATGCATGATCTGTTTCACTAAGACAACGGTGTTTTCCATAATGTTCATCTTATCTTAAAACAAACACATTTACACATGAGCTTTCGTGCCAAGGACAGCATTAGTGATATGACTCCTGCAGATACTTTTTCAATCCATTCACGTAGTCTGTCCTTGCAATAAATCTTTATTCGTTGATTATTTATTCCTAAGTGACTTATACTATCTCCTGATAGGACTACCTTTAATGTGTCCTCTGTTATACCAGCTAGTGGCTGATTAACGTTTATTAAAATTTTTTCAGGTTTCGCTTTAGGTAAAGCACCTGACAGAACAACTGCTCTCCGAAAGGTAGGAATTTTTGAGATTTTTAATTGTTATGGTTTGATTCTGTACTTGAGTAGGCTGAGCACAATAACTAAATTTAGAGGGAACATTGCTCACATTGGGAATAAACAAAGGAAACACCATATTTATGTACAACTATTTCGAAAAAGCAGTTTCAAAGTTCAAATATTTAATTAATAAGGCATCTCCTTTCCAATTGTAGCTATGAAAATATTACATTATCTTGTTACTTGGCCTCTGTTGCTAACTTGGTATTGGTTTTCAATATCCCGTTCTAGCCTAGTTAATGCTGTGAGCATCAGAATATGGAGAACCATGGGCAAATGCAAGTTTAAGCTCCCAGGCCGTCAGCCTGCACCTGGGGTTATGAGAGTCCTCTGCATTCTGAATGAGTATTTTTAAAAAGTTTGGTTCCATTAAATTGATAGTCATATATCCTTCAACTTTATAGTTTCCTAATTTCCTCTAAACTTACTTTTATTTGGTACATCATAAGGCAAATGCAGTGAGCCAGATATTGAACCTGCAGCATCTGTATTCTATTGCTTCTGATTTGTTTTCACCAGTTGTTTTATTTATTGGCCCAAGATAGACACACAAAGTAGTTTGACTTTAACATGTTTGACTGTAGGACAGAATGAACTTGAGCAGTTGTGAAGGTATCCTAACGGTTTTACCCAGGCTGTCAATCCTTCACTGCACTCTGACTGGGGGAGCTCATATGAGGAACTGCTATACAAGCCCACCTCTGCATTCTAGCACTCTGCAGAATAAGAATTTTTACCCTAAGCACCCAAGGAGCAACTGTTGTACACATTGATTTGCCAGCTGCAGCTTGCATAAGGGAAATATCCATGCCAGCAATTGCTCCACTGCCACCCTCAACGCAGCCCTGATGCCAGCTCACTGGAGAAGGGCCTCCGGCAGGTCACTATTTCTGCCAAATAAAAACCGAAAGAACTGCGGATGCTGTAAATCAGGAACAAAAACAAAGTTGCTGGAAAAGCTCAGCAGGTCTGGCAGCAAAAATTTTTCTTCTGGAAGGAAAAATCTGAGGAAGGGTCACCGCACCTGAAACATTAACTCTGATTTTTTCATCACAGATGCTGCCAGACCTTCTGAGCTTTTCCAGCAACTTTTATTTTGTCACTATTTCTGCCAGTTTTCTCACTGCTGTGCATCACTCCACCATCCAGTGGTTGTTCTGAGAAAAGGCATAAAATATTAGCTAACATCAGTCAGCATGGTCTCAAACTTGAACTCTCTATTGGCTGACTAGACCAGAGTTGAGCTGAACTGCTTTGCATCTGACATTACATGATTTACCACATTTATAAATGTAATAATATTTCTTGCCTTTGTCTGGTTCAGTATACCACTCAATGCTTCATTTCAGCTATTTATTTTGTGGAATTTGTAGGCAAAGAACAAAGCTATCCACTACTTGTACTACATCGAGCGATACAACAATCACACCAGTGAGTATCTATTGTGTATCATTCCATACTTTTCTCAACTTTACAATTATAACTTAATATAGTATGTCCTGAGAAACCTTGGATCATGTGCACACAAGAATATTGTAGCAATGTAGACAGATGTTGGTCTCTATATTTATATCTGGATAATTTTCAGGATTTGCAGTATTTCACCAGTTTGCTTTTCATCTCAACCTATAGATGCATACAAGTATACCTGCCAGCAAACCAGAGAGAAGAACATTGTTTTCACTTGCATCTTCCATTACTAAGAATAATGACCATGAAACTGTTCTTGATTGTTGTAAACACCCATCTGGTTTAATAATGTCCTTTTAGGGACGGAACTGCTGTCCTTGCCCAGTCTGGCCTCCATGTGACTCCAGACCCATATCAATGTGGTTGACTCTTAATTGTCCTCTGGGAATATTAGGGGTGGGTAATAAATGCTCACCTAGCTAGTGATGTCCACATCCTGTGCATGAATTAAAAATAAATTTAAGAAATCTCAATAGTTTTTTTTTTCTCCTCCTTATCAAGATCCAATTACATCAAATTGCAGAAGTCTAAAATTGAACGTATATTCTGATCTTCTAAACCAAGACCACACTCCTAATGTTTGAAGGATGCCTGCCAGTCAAAGAATGAAGTAGTTGCTGGCAATATTTTTCATACATTGCCTTGATTTTAAACATACTGTCTGTCCCAACTGGAAACGGCTGATTTCCATCTTATAACACCTAACACCTGCTTGTGTTTACTTTTGTAGACAGTTATATAAATAAAAGCCCTGCTCTTTGATTTTGCGTGCTAAAATCTGTTTGGAAACAGAAGGGTCTTTATCGAACACAGATTGGTGAAGCATGCCAGTGTAGCTTTTAAAAGCAAGTTTTTCAGAATTCTACAAATTCTGGAAAGGTTCCTGTGGACTGGAAAGTAGCAAACGTAACCCTGCTATTCAAGAAGGGTATGGTGGAGCAGGAGAGCGCTTGGAGAACTACAGACCTGTTAGTTTCACATTGATAATATAGAAAATGTTAGAATCTATTGTGAAGGATGCGATAACTCCACACTTAGAAAATATTGAAAAAATTGGCAGAGTCTACCCAGATGTATGAAAGAGAAATCATGTTTAACAAACTTGTTGGAATTTTTGAGCATGTTAATTGGAGTGGGTATGCTGTGTAGGGGATTCACAGAAGACTTTTGATCAGGTCCCATGCAAGAAGTTAATCAACAAAGTTTGAGATTTTGGAATTGGAGATATTTTACTAACATGGATTGGTTTCCAGACACTAGGCAAGAGTAGAGATAAATGGTGGGCTGTTGCTACTAGGGTTCCAAGGGATCTTGAACAGGCTAAGTGAATGCACTGGAACATGGCAGATGAAATATAATATTAATAAGTGTGAATTTATCCACTTTGACAGATAAAAACATTAGACTATTGGTTCGGTGCTGAGAGATTGATTGTTGGTATCCTTGTTTATGAGTCATTAAACAAAATAATGCGAAAGGCAAATGGTATGTTGACTTTCATCACCAGGGGATTTGAGCAAAGACATCTTGCTGCAGTTCTGTAGAGCCTTGGTTAGGCCACATCTGGAATGTTGTGAGCAGTTTTGGCCTATTTAGCTAAGGAAGGATCTGCTTGCCATAAATGGACTGCAGTACATATTCACATCATTAATCTCTTTGCAGTACTGTTGCTCTACCTAGTTCTCATGAATTGCAGTGTTTCACAAGGCAGATCACCATCTTCTAAAAGATACCTTGGGATAGGAAATAAATGTTGACTCAAACAATGATGTTGGCATCATGTAAACCAATAAAAGAAAATATAGATTGTAAATAATTGGGGCCCCTTCACTGATGTTTCTGGCTCTCTACTGATTACAGCTTACCAACATTAAAAAAGATATATTTAAGCCATCTCTCTATTTCCTGTTAGCTAAACAGCCCTTCATGCTGATCTATAAGCTCTCAACCATGCGTCTTGTTCAGTAACCTTTGGTGTTAAACATGATCAAATGCCTTTTGGAAATCCAAGTACGTTACACCCTCAGGTTCTGCTTTTATCCACCTTGTATGTTACAAAAACTCTAAATTAATTAAATATACTTTTCCCTTCACAAAGCCATGTTGACCTGTTTGACTGCATTATGATTTTAAAAGTATTCTATTATAACCACCTTAATAATGAATTCAAACAGTTTCCCTGTGATGGATGTTAGGTTAACTAGCCTACTGCTTAGCTTTCTTTCTTGTCTTTTTTTTTTGAAAAAGATGTTACATGTGCTGTTTTTCAATCCACTGGGATCTTATCAGAATTAATTAAATTTTGAAATATTACAGCTAACGCCTCTGCTATCTCTGTAGCCACTTCTTTTAAGTCCTTAGGATGCAGACCATCTGGTCCTGAGGACCTTTGAGCTTTTAGGTCTTGTTTTCCAGTACCTTTTCCCTGGTAATTGTGATTATTTTAAGTTTTTTCCCTCTCATTCACCTCTTAAATTTCAAGTACCTTTTGCAAGCGTTAAAAGTCTTCTGCCATGGTGGCAAACAAAAAATGCTGCCTCAATGTCTCTACCATTTCCTCGTTTTCCATTATCAAATCCCAGACTCACCTTCTGGAGGACCAATATTCACTTTTGTTACTCTCTTTCTATTTTAAATGCTTGGAGAAACTGTTACCAGCTTTTTTTTTCCTTTTTCTCTTTTCTTTTAAAAGTGCTTCTTTGCTAAAATGTTCTGGCTTGCCACTAATCTAAGCCGAATTGTACAGAGTCTCTTTCCATTTGATGCTATCCTTAACTTCCTTATTCAGCCACAGATGATGCATCCTTTTTAAAGAGTCTTTCTCACTGGGATAAATCTTAGCTGACAGTTATTAAATATCTCCTTCTGTCCTACCTTTTAATCTAGTTTCCAGGTCACCTTAGCTCACTCTGTCTTTAAACACTTATTACATTTATTCAGGTTTAAGATGCTAGTTTAGACCACTCCTCCCCTTCAAGCTATAAATTTTTATTACATTATCATCACTGTCACCTAGATGTGCCTTTACTATGAGCTTATTGATTAGTCCTGTCTCATTGCTCATAAGCAGGTCTAGAATTCCTGCTCTCTGGTTGAGTCTACAATGTACTGTTCTAATAAAAGGTCTTGTATACATTTCCAGCAACATGTAGAATAAAGCCACCCATGATTATCGAGATATCTTTCTTGCATACCTCAAATTATTTCTTCCCATGCTCTGTATCCTATGGTTTAATGACCATTTAGGAAGCTGCGAACTACCGTAACAACTGACTGACTGACTGCTTACTTTTACTAACTCTTACTAGGGCCATAAGTTGATTTGACACTTTCTTTCTCCCCTTGATCTTTTGAACTAAAGTCATCTCTCACTAATGTATGAATGAAATCCATAGTGAACAAAGCTACCTCACCACGATTGCCTAGCTTGAAAGTGTCAAATGCCAATCAATATTCGCAATCCTCTCCTTGGTCATCCTGCAGTCAAATCTCTGTTATTATCAGGTCATACATAAGTTAATCTTTACTAACGATTTTGTTTTTTTTTGTTAATGCTGCACTTATACCGAACATTTAACTCTTGTCTTTGTACAGTTTTTTTGCAAGCTCATGCCTGATCTACTGGTGCACTTTTAAGTTTGTACTCGCTCTGTCTCCCTACCTCACTCTGTCATTTCCCAATCACTGCACTGCTCTATTTCTTCATTGGTCCCCTTTGATGTACCGCCTCTCCTCTTGCATGATCCCCTCCAGTGACAGGGGCTCCCCATCCCCAAATTATTTAGCTTAAGTAATGTACGGTCCATGTCGTACGACCTGCCAGAACACGGGTCGCAGCACGGTTTAGTGAAACCCTTACCCAGTGATACAGCTGTCACCTGTACCAGTGCCTGAGAGTCTTTGGATGCATTCATCTCTCTGATCTTGTTTATGCTCATTTCATCTGACTCGGGTAATTGTCCAAAGAGGTTTCCTTGTAAGGTTCTTTTAAATTTATATCTTCTACCTAAAGCGTATTTTGTCTTTAATTCAGTTTATCAGGATATAACATCGAAGTTCAAACGAACAACAATCAAAATGAAGAAGCAAAACTACGGTAAGACTAATGTCGAAAATTGTGTGCATCCTTTAGGTGAACAGCAGTAACTCATTCATGTGCATTTGCATCATGTTGAAGGGGAACATCCATTACTTCAGTAAAGAGGATTTTGTCATTGCTAATTTAATGAAGCATTTTTGGTCAAAATCCAAAAGTTGAAAGTATCTTTAAGGTGCTTCTCATAAACGCCTTTATGAATTCGTATGGCAGAGTGAGAATTAAAAACACTGTGTAAGAATGTGCAGGAAATTTGTAACATTTTTTCACTGCTTGCTGGCATCATTGACAGCTCCTTTTGAAGGGCTGCTGATGTGTTCTTCAAAGTCACTTTCATCAAACCCCCTCAATGTGTCTTGTCAGCACCTCTTTCCTCTCAAAATTCCATCTAGCCTCCCATTCCCCTCTCAAACTACGCACATTACTAACTCCACAGTAACTGTTCTGTGTTCAAGTCTCCAGACTCTGGTTTCCAGTGCACAATCCTTGTCAAAGAAATTCTTAGCCAACCTATTTGTCTAAAACATGACTCAGATTCATAAGCATAGAAACACAAATGATGTTAAAGTCTGTCTTAGCCTTGTACCTAGTGAGCATAGAAGCATAAATGATGATCATGTCTGTCTTAGCCCTGCAGTCAGTGATTTAATGAGTTTTAATGCACATCAGTATTTCAGCATTTTTATACCAAGATCAAAACATGTAGAGAGGAAATCTTAAGCAGTCTTGAAGGTTTAAAGAAATTCTAAACTTTTGTTTAAAGCCTTTTGGATACCATGCAGCGCTGTTCTTCCAGCTCTCTCCTTGGTAATTTCTGTAGAGCTGATTCCCAAATACACTAGGTTTTTAAGCATATTAATTACATTTGTGCCTCAGGGTATGGACTACATTGTCACCGAGCAATCATTACGATATGCAAATTAATTGGAATTAAGGACATGTACGCCAAGGTTACTGGATCTACCAATCTGTTGAATATTACTCGAGCCCTCTTTCAAGGATTGTCAAAACAGGTAACGTTGCATTTAAAATCAGATGGTTGCTATTGGTTTCTTTTCAGTTTTGACTGAATCGTCATTGATGAGCAACAGCAAGTTGTTTATTAATGTGAAATTTATATTAGAACTGATCTGAACTTTATATATAAAATCTGGACTTTTTGTTAATAAAGCCTAATTAATTTTTGTCCTTCCCTGTATTGTCTCCTTTTCTCCCTTGGTGTATCCCTGTAGCTCAGAAAATAAGATGATGTGGCTGCAGCAGTTTATCTCACCTGGTCTGTTAGACACCCTGCTACATGTTAAATTTCATTGACTTTCGTCTGTCTTTTCTCCTGTCCACATTTCTGAGGGTTGGGCCGTAGACTTCTATTGGACTGGCCCACTCTTATGGACAAAATCACTGCATTGGCTTGCCATTGCCTTGTGCAGGATGGCTAACTAGCAAACACACGCTCTTTCTGCCTGTCATCAGACATGTCAGAAGGATTTACAAGCCACATTTGTTTGGCTACATTACAAATACATCTGCCGTGCCAATAAGTCCTGATCTGGGACTCAAACCTGGAACATCTGGCTCTAAGGTTATGGACATTGCCACTATGCCACAGGGCTTTCTTCAGATCTGCCTGCTGTCTATTTAACACCACTTTTCACCTGTTTCCTGGGAGGGGGACGAAGTAGCTGAGAATGAAGTGTGCTATAACTTTATGGGATATATAAAATTGTATAAACACTGTGGTTAGGCCACAGCTATAGTATTGTGTGCAGTTCTGGAATCCTTCTCCTAGGAAGGTATGATTGTACTAGAGAGGGTGCAGAGGAGATTTCCCAGGGTGTTGCTTGGGATAGATTTGTTGTAGTTATGAAGAGAGATTTGATAGACTGGGGTTGTTTACATTAGAACAGAGGACACTGAGGGGGACGTGATTGAGATGTGTGAAATTATGAAGTGGTTATATAGGGTAGGCAGGAAGCAACTTTTCTCCGTTTGTGGAAGGATCAATGATTAATGGGGATAGATTTAAGGCAAGGGACAGAATGTTTCGAGGAGATGTGAGGAAAAACTTACTCGGTTTAAGGGTGGTGGGAACCTGGAAACCCCAGGCTACAAGGATGGTAGAGGCAGAAACACTCAACATTTAAAAAGTATTTAGATTATCACTTGCAGTGCCATGGCATTCAGGCTATGGACTAAGTGCTGGAAAATGGTAGTTTTTGACCAGCGCAGAAGGGTCTTTGCTGTGCTGTAGATCATTATGACTGTAGGAAGCGGGATTCAGAATTAAGCATCTTCACGCCTGTTCACAACTGGCCATTTTGGGTTCTCCATTCATTGCTGTCTGTGGATACTCACTTAAAAAAGTTTAAGCGCATTACTTAGCAGACTTGAGTATATCGACAGCTCTTGGAGAATTTTATCAGTCTGTCTCCATCAGCTTTTTATTCTACTTTCACCTATATTCTGAAATTTGTGTATAAGCTTTTACATTTTAAAATGATGAATATATTAAGGTATAATAAGGTGTATATTGTCTGTCACTCCTGTATCTTTGAGATAAAGAAATTAACAACAAAATTTTTATTGACTTTAACTTGGCTAAAAATAATGGTAGACTGTACGATCAAAGTATTTCATCCTGTTTACTTTGTGCTTCAATCCCACAGGAGACTCACAGTGACTTAGCCGATAAGAAGGGGTTACATGTAGTAGAGTTTCGAAGTGAGCGTGGGCCTTTGCCCCTGATAGTTGCCTCCCCACGTGGCCCCGTCAGGAAAACGCCTGAACCTGATGAAATTCCTGACACCAAATTGGATTGGAGTGAAGTGAAAGCAGCACAGGGTACGAAACAATCGGTCTGGGCAAATGTCAAGCGCACAATTTGGTGACCAGCTGGTACTTTCTGGCAAATGCTGTTGAGGCAGTTTTACCTACTGAATCTGCAAAGAAAATGAGAGATCCTGGCTGAGAACACAGCTCTCTGCAGACCTTAACACAAGACAGAAGAATGATATGTTTAACATCATCAGCCCTGATTGTAGTTTATGGATGAAAGGATTGGCTAATTAAGTATTTTTCCAGTGTGTTCCGGTTTCTTTATCTGGAACAATGGAGCTTTACGAACATCTGTTAAAGTTTGTTGCCTTACATCATAAAACCAATAAAATCCATTGTGTTTAATTTAATAAAATGCTGACTTTGTTAGTGTTAATCCAAAATTAATTTTCTTGTACATGGTACAGCTGCTGGGGACGGGGGTGAAGGGGAATTGCACATTAATGCAAGCATTCCAAATGTCATCAAAAAATACGCTTCATCGTGTCCACTTTAAATAGGATTGTAAAACACTATACAATTAGTCAATATGTGTTGGCCCTGCCATTAAAATATTGCTATTAACATTTAAAACTGATTTAGAAGAAGAGTAACTTTTTCTTTGGAAGGCATTAGTAATGTTTCAGGACGTTACATAAGACATTACAGTTTCTGCAGATTTACTCATAGCTTTTTTTCATCTTTGATAAGTATAGTTTAAACTACAGATGTGATAGAAATACATCAAGCTTATTTTTACTGAACACTCATACTTTAAATGGTTAATTGATATAATTTTAATATTTTAAGTTGATATTTTTAAAAATAATAGTTATAGATCTACTTTTGAAGAACAAAGTTTTCGCACAATTTAGGGGAGAAATCTTAGTTGACAATTAATTAGAAAATTTCAGTTTGGTTTTAGCTAACAAAGTAGCAAAAAGGTAGATTAGAGATGGAATAGATCTGATGCCTTCATTTTAGCTACCATTTGCTGACGAATGCCAGGTTCTATTTCAAGAATGTTTATATGCTAGTCTTGGGAGATCTATTATATATAGCTCATAATTGCCCTGTTCAGTAGCCCCTGGTGCATTCCATTCTCTTTGTTCTGAATTTTATGCAGCGTATGCTTTAAAGCAGAATATAAAATGACTAACAATGTTTCTAAACTAACACTTCAGCAGTATGTAAACACTAAGATGAATGCTGTGTGTTAACTAATAGTTGGGTAAGCGGAAGGTTAACTGGTTTTAACTGGAATATTGTGATTGTTTTAATTAAAATGCTGAAGAATCACATATAAATTATTAAAAAGGTTGAATGCCTTTTAGTTTGTATATAAAGCGATCATTTCTCTGCGAATAAGCCGTAAAGCTTCCTACTTGATCTAATTGTGGTAAATCTCTATTTGAGTTGAATAAATCTTAATGTGCTAATTTACTTCCAGCATAATTACTAATCTCAGACATTTGTTGACCATCGTCAGCAGCAGAATGTGCTCATCGACACCAGAAGTCCTAATTTGTAGAGCATTTATTAGTCCATGTGCTGAACCAACCTCCTGAAAAATGTTCACTCAAATTTACTTGGTACTGAAGAGTTTCAAGAATTGTCGTACTTATGAATCAGAGAGTCCCAAAGCATGGAAAAAGGCCTTTTTGGCCCATCATGTCTATGCTGTTCATGAAGCAGCTATTTAATCCCATTTCCCAGCATCTGGCCCATAGCCTTGTATGCTGTGGCATTTTAGGGGCTCATCTAGATGCTACTTAAACATTGTGAAGGCTCCTGCCAATACCATCCTTTTAAACATAGAGTCGTACAGCATGGAAACAGTCTGTTGGGTCCAACTTGTCCATATTGACCAGGTATCCTAAACAGAACTGCCAGTGTTTGGTACATATCTTTCTCCACCTTTCCTATTCATGTACTCGTCCAAATGCTTTTAAATGTTGTAACTGTACCCATCTCTACCACTTTAGCAGCTCGTTCCATACACGCACCACGCTCTGTGTGGAAAAAGTTGTACCTCAGGTCCCTTTTTAAATCTTTCCCTCTCACCTTAAACCTATGCCCTGTAATTTCAGACTCCTCTACCCTGAGGAAAAACACCTTTGCTATTCACCTTGTCTATGCCCCTCATAATTTTATAAACCTCTATTAGGTCACCCCTCAGCCTCTGTCCTTCCAGGGAAAGAAGATCCAAGCCTGTCCAGCCTCTCCCTATAACTCAAACTATCCAGTCACGGCAACATCCTTGTAAATGTTTTCTGCACCCGTTCCAGTTTAATAACATACTTCCTGTAGCATGGTGACCAAAATTGTGTGCAGTATTCTAAAAGTGGCCTCACCAAATGTCTTGTACAGCTGTAACATGACATCCTAACTCCTATACTCAATCCCCTGACCAATGAAGGGAAGCATGCCAGATGCCTTTTTTTGCCACCCTGTGTAACTGTGATACCATCTTGAAGGAAATATATATCTGAAACCCTAGGTCTCTTTGTGCAACAACACTCCCAAGGCCACCCTATGAGTGAAAAGGTTTCTCCTAAATCCCCTTGAAAACCCTTGCCCTTGATCTTAAAGCTATGTCCCTGGTAACTACAAAGGGAGAGAGCTTCTTTCTATCTATGTCCCTTGTAGATCTCTCAAACTTCAGCCTGCTCTACTGTAAGGAAAACACCTCCAGTCTATCTAGACTGGGTCATAGCTGACACACTTCAGTCCGGGCAACACTTTGGTGAATCTCCTCTGCATTCTTTCCAGTGTAACTAAATCCTTCTTGGAATATGAGGACCAGACCTGCACGAACTACTCCAGCTGTGTCCTAAGCAGTGTCCATTTGCTGCTCCATTATAATCTTCCAACTCTTGCGTTGTATGCCTCGACAAAGAGGAGGCATAGAATATGTATCTTACATGTTGCTTTTTGACTACCCTATATCCTTTTCCTGTTTCCTTCAAGGATGTGTGTATATGCACACTAAAGTCCATGTGATCCTTGGTACTGCCAAGTGTCCTGCCATTTGCCGATTACTGTTTTGCTTTGTTGGTCCTTCCAAAATACATCACTTTTCAGCATTCAGATCCATCTGCCACTGTTCTGCCATCTGACCAGCCTGCCTATATCCTTCTATATTCTCAAGCTTTCCTCCTTGCTATTTACCATACCACCAACATTTGTGCCATCTGTGAACTTACTTACCCTGTTACGTTTTATTTCAGATTGAGCCATAAAATTCAAGATAAAAGGTAGAAATTGGTTCTCGTGCACCATTTTAAAGGAAAAATTTTGAAATTGGGCCAGCCAATTCATTTTGAGGCTTATAGGATGGCCAGTTGAAGTAGATTTTAGGTCCTAAAAGCAATAATTGTATGGACACTCCTCCCTGATTCTGATCAAAGCATAGAAATAAATTAATAAATAATCTACAGTTAAATTGTTTAATTTACAATGAAAATCTGTATTTCATTAGGTATGTTGAGATTCGAATCAATCCTTGATTCATAATAACTCAAAGTATTTTACAGGCAGTGAATTACTTTAGGTGTGCAGTGGCTGCTGTGAGTGGAATCTCGATTAATAATTTGTTCACCCTGTCTAGGGTATGTGGTAATTCACCTATTTGAGATTGGGGCAGCATGCTTTACCAACAACATTTGACGGAGCAGAATGGAAGCAGGTTGACCATGTGGCACCTTACTGCAGGGACTAGTGCCAAAAGCTAAGAGGCAAGGAACAAAGCAGCAAGGAGCAGAAGCCCATGACTTGTTGATAGAGCAGCTGGAAGCCTCTGATGCCTAGACAACCTGATGCCTGGAAGGAGAATTGGAGTGGGTATGGAGCTGGTGGATGCCTAGTCTGACTGACTGGCAGCCCCCTTAGCTGAAAAAAGGCCCATTGGGAGAAGGGAGAAAGCAGGACAATAGCCAGGAGCTGGAGCTGAGTTCTTGATTGATTGTTAACAGCATTGAGGAGCCATGACCATGAAGAGTGCAGACCAAAACCACCAGTAGTGGCTAGAGAACAAGGATCTGGTAATGGAGTGGAGCAAATCTGCAGGTAAGTGGACGATCTGGTCAAAACCCCCTGAGAAGCCACATGGAGGAAATATTCCTCCTTGTTTCTGAGACAAGATAATCAGTGTCACACAAAATTAGCAGAAGGAGCTCCACCAAGTGAATTCAGCTACCCAGCTGATTGGAAACCTGGTGGATCTGGAGTATTGGACAAATATGCATCATAAACAGTTAGTTGTTCCAAGTTATGGTTTTGCATTAATAGTTATTAAAATTTGCTACCAGTGAAATAAAGCATCTCTGTGTTATAAGAGATAGTGGGAACTGCCGATGCTGGAGAATCTGAGATAACAAGGTGTAGAGCCGGATGAAAATTTCTGAAGAAGGGTCCAGACCCGAAACGTCAGCTTTCCTACTCCTCTGATGCTGCTTGGCCTGCTGTGTTCATCCAGCTCTACACCTTGTTTGTGTTATAATCTGTGTTTGTTGCCTGTCTGCACGCAATTTGATTGAGGGCTGGATATTATTATATCTTTACTCCTGAGACATGAATAAAGTTGATGATAATGTGCATTCCTGGTTGACTTATTTATTAAACACAGCAAGCATGCACATTAACATGGTTTCGCAATTTGATTTCTTCACATCAAGTGCAATGGTGCTATTTCAGCAGCAGAAAGATAAATTACAAGCAGCTGGTAAAATCATTGGAAGTGTGCACAAACAACAGATAGGGATTTTTTTTTTAATTTTGACCATCATCTTCAAAAAAAAAACACAGCATAAAACACATGGTCGGTATAAACAAGATGGACCAAATGGTCCCCTTCTTTGCTGTATCATTTCTATGGTTCTATACAGAGCCATCGTTCAAAACACTCTTAATCACATTCAACCAGAAGAGCTGGAGAACACCAAGGATTGATTAATGAATCTTTGAAATACCCAAATTAGAGACATTTAATTAACAAGCATGAATTGTAATGGCAAATGATAATTCCTTTTTTGTAATTTTATAACTTTTTCTGCAGAAAGTATAGGACTGTTAGAGGAATCTGTAATTGTTTATAAAAAGGGAGTCACAGATGTAAAAAAAAATCCTGATATTCTTGGGTAATAGAATTGTACTTTTGTTATAAAACCTGTTTACAGTAGGTTCTATCCACTGCTGTTTGTTTCACAATAAAAATCTTAGATTCACATTATATAGATCACTGAAGAATTAAAAATATTTGCTTCACCATACATCTATTTTGCGTGGCAGAGTTGATTTTTAACATTCCTTGAACCTTTTCTAGCCACAGAAAATGTCTCAAACACCTCATTATTAAGCATCCAGTCTCCTTCGTAA